ACATCATTGAACCAATTTTTTTTTTGAAAAAGTAAACCCTAGTAAAATGAAATCTAATGAACAACGCTAAAAAATTATATTGGAACAGAAAACAATTAACACGTTTTCAAATTTAGGCTGAAACAGAAGTCGCTGCACTTTATCATACCACTTTATAAAACACAATATTCAGAAATTCTTGTCGAATACAAAACAGGAAAACTGATGATTAACCCGGCTCAACTGTACCAAAATCGTAACGACGAAAACTCTTTTATCCCAGTAACTTTTTTGAAAATACAGGAAATCCTACTGAAAACCTAGTCTACAGGATAAAAGCAGTACAATTTTTAAGAATTATTACTCATGAATTTTACTTACTTCGGCGCAATGCATTATGATATACACTTAGATATGAATTTGGATTACGCAATTAGTAGAGTTTTCCAAGAAATGTCATTCTCCGAATTAGAAACAGTCCATTACTTATGTGAATTCGAACGAACACAAATATTACAATCACTAGCATTAGCAGTATTAAAAAAACCCTAGGCAGGCTAATTATTCTCAGGTAAAACATCAAAACTGTATTGATTAGGAAGAAAATTTTCTGAAGCTCTACACATGTACTAATAAGTATAACCAATACACGTTTTTGACGATAAATGATGTTATAAGAGAATCCCTATATTTTACAAAAAGAAGTACATTTTGTCGAGACACTTTCGAGACGTACATATGTTTGGTATACAGCCATCCCATGCGGATACCTTAAAGATATAAAAGGTTACATTTATCTTAACGGTGAAAAGTACCGTCCACAAAACATCTCACCTATAAAAATTTTTAACTTTATTAAATTTAAAAACTAACTTTTCGTTTTTCTAGGATGGCCCTAATACATCTTGGAAAAATTGAAATTGAATAAATTATGCGCTATGTTTTTTTTTTGGATTCTTCTTCTCATAATTAAAAAGAATATGCAACATATGCGCAATATACACACAAGTAAACAAACAAGCTAGTGTAGCACACATAATTTTTGCAGGTTTTTTTAGATTATTTTCAAACTCAATCAATAATAATCTTTCAGACGCTCAAATTAGTGATTAAAAAAAAATTACAACCGATTTAAACGCATATGATAATTCACAAGACAATACAAACCTACATCCCCACAATTACAAAATTGACATAAAACAATCCCGTATCTTCGTTAACAAGAAACTATAGAGGTACAGCAATAACACATCACATCTCTCCGAATCATAGCTACCCACAAAGTCCAGTTTCTAATATAGTAATTCACCAACCAAAATTTGGCGACACATATGACGAGATTGTAGAACAACCACACACCACCAATTTTCGTTCTCAAAACAACCATCTTTTTAGCCCACGATAAGCCGCCAGATTGGATCCCTCACCGTTCCTTTTCCTACTCATCCAACCACCAACTTGACTCCTCTCGCATTTCCCTTTCTGATCACACTTCATTCCCCTACCCACACTCTCTACTAACTCACCATGCTAGGTTTTCGATGATTTTATGCACACAGTTTTTAACAAAAATTCACAATTTGACAACTCCGATATCGATACCCGAGATTAATTTCAAAATTCCGAACCCAGCTCTTCCACTTTTTCGCAACCTCACTTCCATCCAATCCATTCTCAACTTCTCGATGAAACTTCCCCAGCCCCTTCTTCCTACACCGACGCAGCACCAATACTTTCCACCAATGACCAGTGATCAGCCCGAACCCCCTAGCCCCGTCACTGAAGCACTAGAAAATGAACTAGATCATTGTATCACATTACAGCAACTGCCTCAAAACAATAATACACTAACAATTCATCAGCTATCACATTCCATTTCATTCTCTGAATACTCAAACCAAACACCCACAGCATTAGAAAGCCGAGCCATCCGAGTCTTCAAACGAAAGCTTTCCAATGCCCAACCCCACGTACTTCACCAACCCCGACCAACCCGACTGTTTTCCATTCACCCACTTCACACTAACACTAAGGAACTCTTAAAATACAGTTATCCATTCTTCCCACAGTACACTTACTACCAGACCACTAACAACGACCAACTGATCTATGTTGATGATTATAGCCTGTTTCAGACACTATCATTATCATGGACCTCATACTACCACTTCACTAGCCCATTAGCGCACCCCTTATTTAATAACCCAGCGGATAATGAAATATGTCAACCCAGATTACAACAATTCACTAACTAGTTAATACTACTTCTTGTATAAAAAATACTAACATACACGGCATCCTCCGTAGCTATGATCCCATCAGACAAATGTATATATTCTGCCCACTAACCAAGTCCTTCGACATTGTAGAATCCCGCCCACTAATCATTCCCCACGAATGTATACAGTCCATCGAAGCCCACATACTACAATACATACACATTACTAAATATAATCACAACTATACATAAATCCAAAATACCTCGCATGAACTTTCACTGAATAAGAATAAACACAACATCATCCGAGCACTCGAGCTTCTATGGATTCTTCTTAAAACTAAAAACGTCATTCGAGCGCTTGCAAAATTCCTCACATCATCAGACACTATTTGCACTAATTTCTCAAATGGATTTTCTGACAAAGACCACCCTTTGTAAGTAAAGTTCAATATTTAAATAACAAATAAAAGAGAACACTAACCATTTTTCATAGTGTCTCAATTTGTTTTTACTTTTCACCGTTCACTCATCTAAAACAAACAAAATAAAATAAAAATTGTAAACTCTTTTCTAGAAGTTTTTAAAATCTAATTTAATAGTTGCAGTATATAATTAAAGTAGCGAAAACTTTTTTTTCAAAAAGCAGTACACTCACAAATTTAAATTTCAACGGCGTTAAAATAAACATATTCCTAAAGCAGTAGATTAACAAAAAATTAATTTGAAGAAAACTAAACTTTCGTACAAGAGACTTCTTCTATAAATTTCAAATCTTTTTACTTGCCCATAAATCACACACTCTCTCCATAACTCGCACAGCTCGCGCACGAAGAATCGTTTAAATATTGAGTTTCAACTTTCACTGATAACAACTCTAACTTGTTTTCACTTGACTCAAATTTTCCCTAAACCCGGTTGAAAGGAATTGTATAAAAAATTTAACTAACCAACGCAGCTTACTAACTCCACAAAACCAAAAACTAATAGCATGACTAAGAAAAAAGTTCCCACGGTACCGAAACCGGCTTAAACCTAGATTAAAAATGGATAAATTATTCTTTTGAAACCCACTTTCAAGTTTTATTGGAACTGAATAAAACAAAAAAAATCGTAAGACAAACCCAAAATAAACTATTCTATTTTTGAGAAAAGGACACAACCAAAATAAAAAAGAGAAAAGCACCTAATGAAAAAATGAAATAAAAGGTTGAACATATAAAGAGACTCAGCCAAAGAGATCTTAAAATGTAACCCACTCTGGCCTAACCCACCAGAGAGACGTCGCTAGTAGTACATGCCCAGCAGACCATGCAATACAACTCCGATAATCTATTTTTGATAAGAGTGGCTACAGAGAAAGCAACTCTTTAAAATAACTAAAAGAGAATGCTTTTGCGAAAAACAACTAATACTAAATCAAAACTAAAAACTGACTTCACTAACAAAACGTAGATATATAAATGCAATATGATGTCAAGATTTCTTAGAACCCAAGGAACGAGCGGCAAAGGAGAAGAAAATTCGAATCAATTCCAACTCTGGAATGTCAAATCTATTTGGTTTGTTGCCGTAGTCACTACCCTCAAAGGATTTAAAGTATGGACTCAACATCGCAGAAAAGGAAATCCATTGAAACAGACCGAAGGTCATCTCGATGTTGATCTCACATACCGATTTTATTCACAATGCATTGCATCGAACTGAAGTCTTGCCACAATCACCCAAGACGATCCACGATCAACGAGACACGAACAAACGATCTTCTTCTCTCTACCAAAAAAAATACATATCTCCTCTCTTCATGAAGTCACTGCTCAAACTGTACACGCGGAAAACTCAAATTTCACCCTGCACGTAGTCTCGCTCTAAGCTTAACGAAATCGATACATCATTGCATCGATCTGAAGTCTTAACACAATCAACCAAGACACGAGCAGACGATCTTCTTCTCTCTACCAAAACAGCTACATCTCTCCTCTCTTCAAGAAGTCACTGCTCAAAACTGTAAAAAGAAAACTACTTCACCCGTCTTTTACTACAAAAAAAAACAATTAAAAACTAAAAAATCTCTGAACCTCGGATAGGTGAAACCAAAACTTATGAACCAATTTCATTATTGATAAAATTATCTCTTTAAAGTATTACTAATTAAGCAATCATATTCCATCACTAGCATTGACACTTGTTTGTAAGTGCTGAAACTACTTGATGTTTCAGCACCAGAACAATTTGAACAAATCTTAGGCTGCAGTTGTTCTCTCTCTGGATAAACTCCAAGATCTAACTCACAAAGACCAGTATACACTAGATCTAATGAGACTAGGATATATAGGAGTGAGATGAAGATTGGTATTAGATTGGGATTAGTTGCACGAACCTATCCGGCCGAAATTAAGATAGCGTGACGAACAGACGGTGTACCTTATCTCAAATTACTCTATGAGAACAGACCCCCGGCCATAACTCAAATACTTTCCTTAAGAAAGTCGGAACAAAACCAAATTTAATGTTGTCATAATGTAAGGAAACTTTCGAAAAAGCTTATGGACAACTCAACTGTCCTGAACTCAACTGTCCTGAGCGAAAAATTACAAATTTAGCCAAAATAGTATGTGAAACGTATACTGAAGATGGAAATTTCGAAATGTAGAGGTAGAAGTGGATAAAAAGCCAGAAATGACAAACTTTCCCTTATGGCAATTTTTCGCAAAACTGAAACTGTTGAAAAGTGAAGCGCAAACAAATTGGGTTTGACAGAATGTTTCATATGAAAATTGGTCTGCTCGTTGTTTCATTGCAGCTGTGGGGGGCAGTGGGGGTGCATCTGTAAACGCTCTGTGTCTATTCAACGTCAGAACAGATGACCAGACAGTGATATTCAACTACACACTGCAGATGCTGGGAATAGAGCAACCCTCTAATCCAGACACTACTCTGTTCAATTTGTTTGATGTGTTCACCCAGAGTCCCCTCTATGAATCAGTGTCCTGGAACTCCCCTTTAATGGTCCAAGTGGAGGCATATGAAGTGGCAACGCTTATTGTCATCGAGCTAGACGACGACAAAGACAATAGATATGAATTGGACTGCGTTTGAGTTTATTATTTGAAAAATGCAAAGTGTTGCGTTTAGTTTATTGAACTCGCACTAACAAAGATAGAGATATTAAATCAAATTTCCCGGGTCGAGGTGCTCGGTTTATGTTTCGACTTTCTCGAACCAAAAATCGGTATGTTTCGGCGTCTCGGTCAAATTTCTGTACGTCTCGACTTTCTCGGCCAAATCTCGATGTGTTTCGACTTTCTCAACTCTCTCAAACGACATTTTTGAAAAGTACATTTGCTCGACCCCGCATAGAATTTTTTTTTTAAATCAGTCATTTATCTATTTGGTTTATTTTTTCCACATTTTGTTTCGTTTAGGTCCACGTTTTACATTACTAGCAAAGTCCGCACATAGCTAGCCAATTTCTCTTCATTTTAGAACATCCGTAAATATTTCTCTAGGGTAAGAAATCATGGTCTGAGCCAAGACTGCTCCATTTGGTCCTTGTGCCTCGGAAGCACACATTGGAAGCACGGAGCACGGCAAAAGACAGCCGGCACTTCACCCAGTTCATAGTTTTACTATACGGTTTCTCCCACTTGGTAGATAATGCTTCTCCTTTTCTCCGAAGGAAACTTGCAAATTCTGGAGCAAGCGTCCCATCAACAGACACGACAAGAGGAGTGAAAGACATATGTCTTTCCTGACACGCGTCTGAATATTTTGTCTTTTTCTCAACCTCTGCTGAATGCAAAACACTCATGGGGCTTCTGTTCTGATAGGAGATGGCGTCGGTGTCAGAGACACGAATATCAAAAGACGCTCTTCCCTTTCTAACATAAACTCAACGACAAAACAAATCTGCAATTAATGCGGGTGTCACATCTTGCGGGTTGTTTTCTCTAATAACAGGCTCTCTCTGTACATCCTTCCACATGAAAGAAGCTAAGTCGCATACAGCATCCCTAATCTAATTGTGCCGTAAAGTTAAGAGACCACCTTTTTTGCACGCTAACAAATGCCGTAGGGTGAATGGTGACTGGCACTCAATGCATACCGGACACTCAATGCATCCCGAAACTCCTCTTCCGAATGCTCAAAGTTTTCTGCAGCAATCGGTAACGCTGTCAGCCAGGCAGACAAGCTTCCTTCATTGATTCTTTTTACTGCGCGAGCTTGGTCTTCAATAACTCCCCCAACAACTCTGCATGTTTTTCTTCCATTATTCGATGATGTTTTTTCCGCGATCGAGACATTTGCTTTTTGTGGTCTTCATGGGAAAAACCGTGCTGATCAACAATAGCATCATAAAGAACCGTAACTGTTTCCCGTGACGTGTTGTAAGACTCATCAGCGAAACTGGTTGGGTTAGACACTCCAAGACCACCCTTTCTTGCTGGCAAACAAAAGAGACGTCTCTCCATTGATGAAATCGACGAAGTTCCAAGTATCGCAGGTCAGAATTTCTCCATCAGAAGGTTCTCTAGCGGTTGAAAAAGCTGACTAGAACCCCGCATAGAAATGGTTCGGCTTTCTCAATCAAAATTGAATATTTTCTACTTTTTCGACCAAAAATCGATTTCGACTTTCTCAACTGTATCGAATATTCAAATCCTATTATCTTCTTGATAAAAGATCTCTTAAAAATACTTAGAACTAACCGATCATGATCCATAACTAACAAGCACAATTATTTGGAGGGCTGAAACTATTTATAGCTTCAGCCAGAACAGAATAAATTTAACAAACAGCACTCTTCCTCGGAACAGTTCTTGATATCTAGCTTCGCAAATACCAGTATACACCAGATCTATTGAGACTAAGGAGATGAAAGAGTAAGATTAAGATTGGTATTAGACTAAGATGTTGCATGAACCCATCCGACCGAAAATAAGATAGCATGACGAACAGACGGTGTACCCTATCTGAAGTTACTCTATGAGTGAGCCACCCCGGACATAAACTCAAATTGTTCAACCCCGCATTGTTCCAAAATTCTCCACCACAAATGTTAAGAGACCCGGAAGATTGCGGGTTCGAATCCCTCTGTGGTCGACTTTTTATTATTAAATCTTGTCTGGTTTTTTAGCGGTTTTTTTAGATAAACCGCTCAAAACCGTTCAAATCTTGCGCGGTTTTTTTTTAGATAAACCGTTCAAAAACCGCTCAAACCGCTCATTTTGAAGCAAGATTTTGAGCGTAAATGTCTAAAAAAAACCGCTCAAACCGCTCAAATCTTGCTTCAAGTTAGGTGAAAAATCTCGACTCGGGCATAGACCTTAAAAGGCTGTTGGAACATTCAGGGCTTCGCCTTGAGCCGAGCAGTCTTGTTTCAAAATTAAACAGTCTTGTTTATTCCATTGAGATTCAGATGTGATTTGAAAATATCAAAGTTAGCAAGGTGAAGCTAAAAAGACAATCTTGGAAATTTCAAAAGGTCACCCGTTAAAAAGTTTTTTCTTAACGTTGTTTTAAAACTGTGTTAATGGCTTCACCTGGCCCATTTTTCAGTTGTCCACACGGACTTTTAAAAAATATATATTCGTGACAAGCGATCTCATTAGTTTTGTTGCGAAAGTCGGAACAATAAGATTGACCAGAAAGCATTCGAAACAGTTTTAGGCACTAAAAGTGTTCCTAGTTTTTCCGATTTTAATTTAAAATCACCTAAAATACATTTCAATTTCTTTTGTGAATATGGTTACGCACTTGGAACCGAACCAAATTGTCGCTCACGCGTAGTTAACTTGGCATATCAGGCACGACAACTGTTTGAATTGGTCAAATGCACAACTTTGACCGTCCAAAAATTACATCTCGTTAAATTGTTTGCTCATGAAGTTGAGCTCTATACATATACTCATATACACATGGGGAATTTAGGTCAAAATTGATACCATTCAGTTTGTTTGAAAAATGTCCAAAAAATGGCTAGTTTTTATCAAGAAATTTTCATCAAAACGGAAGTTAGTTTTTTACCCGGCTCGAAGTCCCAGACTCATGTGCAGACTTTCGCGACTTAATTTTGGCAGGTTCAGACTTTCCAGACCAAAATTAGGCATGTCCAGAGTTTGGCGACCAAAACCTGGTATCTCCAGACTTTCGCAACCACGATGATCCGTCGCGACTTTCGCGACCGAAGTGGAGGTGCGCGACCAAAACATCGCGACTCATATTTGGTATGTCCAGACTCTCGCGACCAAGAGTTGCCATTACCAGACTTTCGCGACCGAAAAACTCAGGCGCGACTTTCAGGACCGAGGCGGATTCGCGCGACCCTGCGGTTCAGGAAACGGCGTGAACGGCGGGACCAAACATAGCCAATGGTGACACAGACATGGACACAGACTTTTGCGACCCATTTCCAGACTTTCGTGACCAAACTTCGGTATGCCCAGACTTTTGCGACCCATTTCCAGAATTTTAAGACCAAATTTTGGTATGTTCAGACTTTCGCGGCCCACGGTGCAACTCATGTCCAGACTTTACAGACTCAAACTTGGCGCGACTATGCAGTTTGGGTCTGAATCCGGATGCGGCGCGGCCCTCAAAATCTGCACTCTATTTTTCAAAACATCTATAATTCAAAACCTCTATAACCTTTGGCATGTCCAGACCTAACCCTTAATCTAGACATGCCAAAATTCTGTCGCGAAAGTCTGCAAATGAGTATGGGACCTCGACCCAGGTAATATGGTTCGAAATCAGTCACTACGCCATTATTCGTAGAATGACAGTATATTTATCCTCGGGATGATTTCTTGGAAATTTTTTCCACTCTTTAAAAATATCTCTTTTTGATAAAAGATTTCATTTTTCTAATGTTTGAAAGATGTTTCACCACAACTGTGATTTGATCGTTCGAAAAAAGTCAGTCCGTCAGAACGGTAATGATTGTTGACCATTTGATTTCACCATTGGTTTTGCACAATGAAATGTTTCTCAGAACAACACTACAATTGTTGAATTGATTGCTCTCGTAGTTGCCCGCACAGAAGTTGTAACCCTGTATCAATCAATTTTATGACAAACTTATGTTCAAAGACAAAAATAGTAAAATATATGGTCTAAATCATTGAATAAAAAACTTTTAAACTGTGTCAATTGTGTTGGATTTATAATCTGTTTTGTCTTTATAGATTACCAAGAGCAGGTATTTTTCTCTCCTTATAATCGCAATATAATTAATTGTTTTTTTTCTATATAGTTCCAAAAATATTTATTGCTTGTACCATATAATAGCAACACAATCTATTTTTTGCCATATATTTACAAAAGAAAACATGTTCACTGTAAGCATGATTTTTTGCTTTACAAACAAAATCAAATCATTGCTTTTATAAAATCTTATTACTAGCAAGATGAAATTTTTTAGCGAGTTTCGTGTATGTACAATCTTTTTTTTTCCTAATCTTGCTTTTAAGTATTTTAGCGAATTGTACTTCATGGTGCATTCCTTCTTCAATCCAATTGCCTCGGATTGTTTTGGAACTAACCATCAACAGGACGATCTATAACCTTCAAGCCAGGGTTGCAAAACAAAACATGATTCTGACAACAAAAAAAACGTTTTAAAGGTTTAAAACTTTTTAAACACGTTTAAAACAAAAAACATGCATAATTGACAAAATTAGCTGCTCAGCACACGTTTTATGAAAGTTAGTTTTTCAAGTTTTTCCATGTCAAGACGTTTTCGAAGGTCGTCTTGGATATAGCCCATTGTCGAAAACATCCTTTCGAGACCAGCTGAACTGGGGGACAGTTTTTCCATCTTCAAGGCCATTTCTCCAATTTCCTTGGAACTCTTTCCCATTGCTATTTGATAGTTCAAAAAATTTACTTCTTTTTGTCTGTGTATTCTTGGAATTCAAATTTTAGAACCGGTAAGTTCTCTCCAATAAACTTAAAGACTTCACTGTTGCATTCCGGATGCTTCATTTTGATCCAGTCGATGGCAGGCTTGCGTTCGTTCTCCGTTAAGTCTTCGCCGAAATACAATGGGCATAACAAATAGGCAGTGAACCACGAATCCGGAACAGAACGATTATACCTTTTCTCAATGAATTCCAACCACTCTAGGCGTTCCATCCTCGTTCACTAAAACTGTCGAGTAATTCTTTCCATGCCCAAAC